AGGCATGGTCAATTTAGATGTTTTTCTATTATTAGGTAATATGGTAGCTGCCTTTTTATATAGAAGATTGGACTCTAGTTCAGGTAGTTGTCTTACTAAACCTTTTCCTGAGCTTTACAACTTCTAAGGTAAGGCTCAAGGCATACTTAATCTTAGTAATGGATACTTGCTGTGATGCTCTCTTTCATTGGACCATTAGTCATAATTCTTGTCATTCTGGCTTTTGCCCCAATAATATTAAGATTTATAACATAATTTGTCTCCACCATGTTATGAGCCCTACTTGTACTCCGGGAATCCCATCTCTCGCTGACACTAGATACCATTGCAACCTCCTCCTATCCCCAGGCCTCATCTCCCTCTGACAGAGAGCAAGGATCTCTTGGCTTTGAAAGAAATGTCATTCCCTGTCAGCAAGAAGGAGCTACAGGAGGGACCCGGCGCCCGTATTCCCTTAAAGAATTCAGAGCCAAGATTCCTTGAGGGGAAATGTAGTAGGCAGTTGGATAGGGATGAGCAGAGTAGGAATGATGGGCGTGGTGCAGAAAGTCCCCAAGGCAGAGAGCCCTCTGCATTGACTAATGACCCTCTGCTAGGCACCAACAACCAGTTGAGACCAGGACCCTGAGGAGATATGCCTGGAAAGCTGATGAAGATTCTATTGAGATCCTCCCCTGAAGCCCCAGATAAAAGCCCCCAGGAAGGAAGACCATGGCTCTCTCCACGGAGCACACCCTGCCTATTCCCATTCTTTTCTTTCCTCTCTCAGGGTGCATCTCTAGTCTCTGAGGTCCTTCTTTTGCATCTCCAAGGATGCTTCTTTTGTCTATGTAACTTGTATTCTGAGCCCATTTCTTCTACGGCTCACTCCACTTCTACTTATATGTCCCTAAATAAACTTTTTCTTATAATTTAGTCTTGGGTTTGAATTCTTTTCCAAGCCAGAGCTCAAGTACCGATGTTGCTGAACTGAGGTCTAACACCTAGTGCCATTTTCACTACTAACAATATGACATTCCCAATCTGATTTTCAAAATGTGCTCTCAACAATTTGAAGCATATATTCTTAGAGAGGTTTAATAGTTTTTCCTTTGATTCTGACCTTTTCATCTCTGTCCCCAGTAGGTAACACAGTGCCTGGCATGTAAAATGGGATCGGCAAATGTGGAAAATGAATGATGACATTGACTTTCCCATATGCCTCTATATACGAGGTTCCTAGTTACGGACTTCTGACCATTGTCTGAACTTTGTAGCACCGGCATCGTCTTCTTATAAAACAGCTGCAATCCACCATTCCAGCTAGTCCAGTGTTCTTTCAGGCTCTGCTTTAAAGGACTTTTCCCCCCTGAGTTCAAGGTTAGGCCCTCTGACCTCACTTATGTAAATCCTTCGTGCTATAAATCAATTTCTTTAATAATCAGTATAAAACAGCACCTATAAGAAGAGCTTCCTTGATTTTCAGATATACCAAATAAAACTATTGGAATTCACCAACAGAATGTGGGAGCCTAAGCCCATATTGTGTTCTCCATCTCGCTTTGCAGGGTAATTTTTCTGTGTTCACTGCTCCAGCCTTAAATGTGTGGTCAGTTGACAAATAGAGGAACGACAGCCCTGCTCCCAGGTGCCCATCATAACACTCCAGTCCTTATGAGCCTCACGGGCTGCTCTGTCCAATGGCAGAGAGGGGGCAGAGAGCACCTGCAGCTGGGGAGCCCATCAAAGTCATGTTCTTAGAGTTGGTCTTCCAGGCCCACTGTGGACCAGCGGTGCCTGTCTGTCCATAGTGAGCAGGAACATTCTAGAAGCAGAGCCTTAAGAAGGGCTGTGGGGGGTAGGGCTAAGCAGGTGTTTCTGGGGTGGGTGCTGAGGAGAGTGTTGGGGAGGGCGTGCCCCATGGGAACTCCTATGTCACAGGAGCTGTTTCTGATGGGGGAGGAGGGCCCATCACTGCCTGCATAGCCTCTTCCTTCACATATTGCTTATTTAACACATCATAAAAAGGAAATGGGAGGTGCCTGGCAGCTGGCAGGCTCTGACAGGAAGCGTCCCATTAAGGGGGGACACAGCAAGGGCCGCTCGCTGGTCTCCAGGTCCTGTTTACAGCAGTTTTCCTGCCCATCCAGGGGGCCTGTCCCCCGTCTAAGGGGGCACGGGGTGCTCAGCAACCCCTTTCTCCTTGCTTCTGGAAAGCCACGTGTCGTGAAATGCTGGACCTGCAGAGGGCTCCTGTGTAACAGCATCCGCCTGGCTTCCTGTGCGCTCACCTGCTTCTTCCTGAGGCAGCAGAGCACCTTCCTGGGGCTGCAGAGCCCAGCTCCTAGTGCCCGCCAGGGAAGGGGACACCGAGGAGCCTTAGAGACCTTGTCCCAACCACAGCCACTCACTGCCGGGTGATCTCACACAGGTTACCCTACTTCCTGGCTCCCCCATCGCTGAAACAGGACAATGATGGTGGCGCTGGGGGCACAGCGGGTGGATATTTGGGGAAACAGTGAAAATCATAGACTAAACAAAGTGTACTACCCGGACTTGAAAATAAATGAATTAAATGCCCATAACCAGCATCACTGTTAATGATAAGATTTTTTGATGCCCTAAATTTTAGGGCATCTAAACAGGATTTTTTTATAAACCAAAAGTATTT